TGAGTGATTGCGTTTTCCTTTTCTTTTTCCCTACCCCCTTTTTTGCTTTTGCGCTTTGAGAGATAGTAGATTCTCTTTTGGATTTAGCGAGCCGTCCCCACGTGGACCGACCTTTTGTTCTTTTGCGTAGCTTTTTCTTTTTGAGTTTAGCCTGGCCTTCAGCCAACAGCTTGCGGCCAGTGGTATATTGCGTGCGTTCTAGAGTAGTAGTTTGCGCCCTTTTTGAGAAACCCCCGTGCCCTTTTCCTTCCCCGCCCGTTTTTGACTATTGTACAGCCGAGGTATTTGTAAGTAGCCATTGTTGCGTTCAGGAACCTTCCTCCCTGAGACCCCTCCCCTCTTCCCCCGCTAGCCATGCCTTTTCGAATTACAGTAAATATTCAAGGACCTTCTGAGACCACTCGACGGTGCTACGAAGTATAAGTAGCTTGCGCCCAAGTTGTGTTCGCGTATTATTTCGTGCCGGTAAGCCCTCCTGTCCCTCCTGCCCCGTCACCATCTTTGCGTATTCATCCTTCCCCGACTCCCCTTCCCGCTAGTCCGTTTAAAGGTCCGTTGCGACACCGCGTGCTCCCGCGTGAGCGCCGCATGTTATTGTTTAGTTTTGCGTATTTGGAGCGACATATTTTGCTAGTGTAGTAATTTCTGATTTCTCTTCTTTTCTATTTTTCTTTGTATTGGCATTTGTTTAACTAATTATATTCTTTCCTATTTCACACCGTGTACCCTTTCTTTTCGCGTGCTCCCTTCCTTTTGAGTCCCTTTTATTTGCGATAGCTAATTCGAGCCGACTCTGGGCGGATATAATTTGCCCAGCACGTCATAGTTTATAACCTTTTTTATTCTTCTTTTCACAACTACGTAGCTGCGATAGGTAAAGGCAATTAATTAAAAAATTAGAGCAAGGAATGTTTTTTAGAAAATTGAACTGTAGGTAATCTTCTATTTTATTAAAATATTTCAGACTCTTTTAATCCTTATATTTTATAGAAACATTTTCTTTCTAGCTGGTCTAAGAAAAATTAAAAAAAGCAACTGCTAAGTACAGTGAGAAGGAACCGTATTTATAGTCATAGATTTTGTTACTTTAAGCAGTAAATAATGACTCTGATGAAGCTGCAGTTTTAATAACCGATCTAGTTCCTGGATGGCGATACTGAGAATGTTCCCCTAGTAGTACTATACTAGGGTAATACAAGCATAGATTTAAGAGGTAAATAGACTGGATATCTTACGGGACATGGTGACACAAGCCTGGGTGTTGCGAACACCTATAAATGGACTTTATCCATTGAAATGCTACATATATTCCACATATCAAAATCGCGAGGCCTCAGAATACACGGGCATATCTAATCTATTTACAATATATTCAGTCAAAGATACAAGGGATATCATGGCAATACATTATATAATACACGTGTATTTGTAATCGATAATATTGCACTGAATATTGAGACATCTGCAAATACTAGTATATCATATCCAAGAATTTAATTTGTTGTACACACACACACGCACGCACGCACATACACTCATATATGCATATAACCACACATATAAACACACCTTCTACACTAAAAACTAGAAATTTTTAAAAAGAAAAATAGCTATGATATATATATATAAGATTTTAATAAGATATTTTGAAATTATTCGTGAGATAATGGAATGTTGAGACTTTTGCTCTAATTATTTTCAGTGTCTCACTACAATATTCTATTCTCAAGTACTTGAACAGTGTCGATTTGTTGCTTGCAATAGGCTTTGAATAAAATTAAGTACTGTCAGACAATCAGGTGAAGCACTCCTCTGCTTAAAAATCCAATTAAAATCTATAGATATTCGATTTAATAATAATCGAATTCAATCTCGGCAATTGGAGATATTCTGATTGAAAATAATTCTGAATGAATAGGTTATCATATCTAATATAATTTTATTGGTGATTACCCCATAGATAATCATTAATGCGGGTTTGATACGTGGATCCTAGCTTGTGTGAATATTTGTACATTACATCGTGTGTAACCGGCAAATCTTGCGCATGACGTATCAGCGATGCTTTCAATGTAGAATCGAATGCACACCTATATATATATACATACGTATAGCGAAAACTGTAACACTTTGATGCAACCTAGATGACCATAACAGGAAGGAAAATACTGCTTCCGCTCTGCATACGCGATTTATCATAATATTCGACACGTTCAAATATTATACGCGTGTACATTTGTGCCTATATGACATAGCTACTTAAAAGGGTTGTGAAACTTAAGCAGCAGTCTTGAATTGCCAATGATAAAAACGACTAATATCTATTTAGCGGTTATTCTGCTTCAAATATACCCGTTAATATATTCTGCATAGTTATGAAGAAATCACACAGCACTTTTGATATAAATAAAATATTCAAAAAGTAATCCGACAGAAATATTTTCACGTATATTAGGTTCAGATAGAAATGTTTGGATCCAATTGTTCATTCAATTTCACTTTTACTCCGGATTTCTTTGTTGAAAAGTGATATTCAAACAACTTAACCTCACAGTGTATGTAAGTTAGTACGTACGACCGAGGAGTATCTATCAAATTCATGTTATTTCCGTTTTTCGCAAAAGACAATTTAAGAAGCTCAAATTTTTACAGCAACCCTCACCTACTTTTATTTTGAGTATTTTAAGAATACGAAACTGTACTATATTTTTTTCTTTATTTTCTCTGTTAAATAATGGTTAATATATTCTGGAATATATCGAATTAAGTATCAAGAAACTCAAGAATTAATTATAAGTTGTACGATAAGTAAGGTGGGTACACTACAGAATTAACAGTTGAGTGATGGTCATAAGACCGCACCCAGCAATGAACATTCTAATTGGTTTGTCATTTGTAATAGTTAAGCCTGATATTGCTGTTCTTACTTAACTTTCATATATAAAACTTGAATATTAAAAAATAATTTTTAAGTCGTCATTACCCTACATATTAGGTAGATTTTAAACGATATAATTTATTGCGAATTATTACATTGATTATTATCATGAATTATTTTATGAAAGTAGTATGTAGATAGAATAAATGATATCAAATAGTTTATTCATATATTTCATTATGAAAACCTCGATAATACTTTCGCCAGATGTGCAGATGGAATTAATTAATGGCGGTGCTTCCACTTTATACCGGCAAAAGAAAATACAACAATGAATCCGTAACAGCCTAGATATCTACTTCTTAGTTACTTTTATCCCAGCACGTTTCCTAAACGTCCGACTACCAATCAGAGCACGGATATATTTACCATTAAGTTTATATAGATATAAATAATGTATAATATACATATATTGCACCAATAACGTAAATAATAAAATATTATAATTATTATTTGTGCTTATGATTTAAATAATATATAATTACGTGCAGTGTAGTAATATGGGTATATGTGTCTATGAGTATCAACATTGATATAAAGTGTAATGTATCAAAACTTTTTATTTGATTAAATTTGTATTTCGTTAATTATGTTATTGTAATGATATTATTCTAAGTTGCAGTTTGACCTTAATAAAAAAAGAGTTTAATAATTATTTATAGACTTTGGTCCACTTGTGATGCCAACACAACAAAATCTCTCCGTTCCGAAATCTAAATTGTCCGTGAAAAGCGACAATCAAACTTGACCGATTATTTATCCTTCATCTTTTAAGTAGGTAAAAGCGAGCCGAATTGATTCAATGTGAGTAATCAATCAGCGGTATTTGGCATTCTACTAATAAAACTACCCATTTTATTTATATATTGGAGATTCTCTCTCACGTGCTAATATTTGTTCTTAGTACCGCAATTTATGTTTCTTAGAAAATACCGTTCATCAATAAAATTACTACAGTCGGTCTAAGAGTAAAATCGCTAGAAATGACAAATAAGAACACGTGTTTCGTACTAGGGACTCTCGTAGCAAAATTTCTCAATTGCCAATGCCCTTTTCCTGGAATGAATGATTTTCCATTGATTTCTATTGATTTACCACACATTACCTTTGATAAAAAAACAATGAAAAATTTTATTACGGCTCTCGGTTTTCTATCTGTCACTTTAAGCTATTGGACCGACTATATATAGGTTACTAAAATGGGAATAAGAAGTGTCCAATGAAAACCTGTTCAAGTATAATATAGGTGTATTGGTTGAAACATATGTATTAGAAAATAGTTTGGCATCATTTTACTTCATTCTCATTATGTGGCATATTTTTAAATCTAAAACAATGAATATTCCACTGTGTTAAATAATGTATAAAAAAAGCCATAGGTAACTTAATGGGGATTTTAATATTATTCATTCTTTAGAATAATACATTAATAATATAGATCTAGTATCGTAAGATACAAGTTATACATATCTATTTACAAAAATAAATTTATCTAAATAAATTTATATACTCCTCCACATAAATATTTTTAAAATTAAAATATCGATATTACTTCAAATTTGAAATGTATGTGTAATTTAAATTCTTTTAAGTGATCAATTAGTTTCACTTCGTAAAAATTATCATAAAGATGCTTTTAAGCGAACAAGTGTAACTTTGTATTTACCCTGCGATTGACAGTAATTGTTCTCACAATTTGTTGTTCCATGTTATAATATTTATCAACTATACTGCAATAGAATGTTGCAGATATCAATCCCTAACCTGTGTAAATTATTTATCCCGCACAATATAATAGTGTGCCACAATAAATACGACAAAACCAACATTTTTATAACCGGGGACTTTTTTTTCCAGTATACTAGAGAAGATGGCCCTTCGAAGAAGAATTTGTCTCACAGTATGATGTACATAAATAGATATATAGACCACATCGACATATGCATAACAAAAATTAATACTCTACAATCAAGAATTGCATAAAACAAAAATTGAAATACCATGTTCATAATGTAAAGTAAATAAGAGAGAAAATGTTATAAGTCTGCACTTTGATACTTACATTAGGAAACTTGTACTACTTGTATATATCACACAGACACATTCATATATATCGAGTTTCACACACAAAATAAATACGCAAATAATTCCAAAAACAACTCTAAGAAGATTTACTTAAAAATCGTTACACGAATCGTTAAGATCATTTAGTGCGCGACTCCGCAGAAATACTGACCGCAGATCTTGCAACCAGTCAGCGTTGGGCCCAAACGTTTCGCCTTTCCAACTAACAGCTTGTTTCCCCTCTCGAACGATGAATTCAAAAGAAAGTAGGCTTCACGTGACTACGTTCTACCTTCCAACCATCGCTCCCATCATGTAACCTCATCATTAACTTTTCTTCATTCTCCTCAATTTCAACCTCGTTCTTTCGCTTATTTTTCAACAATTCACTATTCGCTTTCTATGAATTACTTACAGGGTAATATGAATTATTGATATTTTACGATAGATATAGAATCATTTTTGTTCAGAGTATAGAATATTGTCATGATTTAGTAACAACATTTATTGGTGTAAATTTATATATATTGTTTTCATGATGAATATTTTTTTAGGTTTTTTTTTGTACGGTGTCGGACTCTTATTCGTATATTATATTCTTTATTTACGCATTCAATTTATATTTCATTTTTTGGAATTTTTAATTATTCAAAATATTTTTTAAAGTTCATCGTATCCATTCTATAATACCATAGAAGCTTTTTTGCAGTTGTAACTCATTTTAAATAAGTAGGAGACAATGCATTAAATATATATATAATTATTCTATAAAAAGTGATGAGATATAGTTTGATATCACTTCTTTGACAGAATATCTTGACTCGCTTAATGTTACACTTCAAGCTAATCACAATTCATATCCTTATGGATCATATACACATGCACTATAAATACGATGAGAAATTACAGTCGAATCATCTGGTAGATACGAGAAGACTCCGTTATGACATAATTACTTAAGAAAGTTTCAGATGCTAATATGAATTCTAGAAGAGAAGTAGACTAACCGGTAGTGACGTTACGTGCTTTATGAATACAATCATGTATACGTATTTGTGTATACCAATGTGTATACAATCCAATAATGTTAAATATATATAATGCTAATTTGTGTAGCACTGATATTTATACTTTATGTCATATAGGAAAAGTAAAAATTCTCATTAGGCAGATATTTATTGTACATTTCCATTGTAAGTAAATACATATGTTATACTATAAAATTTCTTATTTTCTTAATACTTAAGTATTCGCGGTCATCGTGAGATCTTTAAGTATGTCACTAGAAACTATAGCCATCAGGACGTACATCTGAAAAATTTGTATTAATATATACAAAAAATCCTGCTTACGACTATAGTCATTATATTTTGCGGTCTTTTTTTTGTTGGAATTTTATATTTAACTATACCTCGATCATAAAAAGTATGCAGAAACATGTCATTTAAGTAAAGCCAGGTTCCATCGACCCCAAGTGAATACCTAAAAGCTAAAAGAAAAGAAACGCTGTTTCACGGAAAACTTGTTCGAGAGCGATGGGTGGGGGTGGGAGGGGAGATTTATGCAGCAATACCACACTGCATCTAAACCAATTAACCATAGTTTAATCCGCATGTAAATAGTACTCAAGTGTTTACGGAAGTAATAGAAATATAGGTATGTGTGCCAAATTGAAATTTATATCTCTTCCTCTGATTCTTACTATCAATAACTTTTCAGTAATTTTTTCTCACGGCTAAGTAATACTTGTGATAAAAAGATTATATATTATAGAATATATTAATTAAATGAGTATAAACTTAATTTTTTTCCTTAGTTTTGAAGTAATAGTTTTAGTTTGTACGTGTAAATAAATATTTTGATAAAATTGTGGACTCTCGAAACTGTATATGTATATCCGGTTTACATGGACGGTAAGACTTAGCATTCTGTGCGGTATGTAGTACACCCATGCATATATATACTTCCCACCATTAAAAAACTTGACAACCATAGTTTTACCGATCAAGTACTACCCAGTGACAGTCCACATCTATGAATTAATCACGTACTTATCTTTTAGTATTATTTTAGAACACAATTCCATTTATATAGGACTAAAACTGCATACAACGTGATTATCGCGTAACTGTTAATCTAAAACTATTCCGAACACACTAAAAATACCTTGAATGTATTTAAGATTTTAATATAGTTGTTGCTATTCTTCTTTGCACGAAATTCGAAAATAGTTTACAAATTTTATTTGGTTTTACATACATTGTTATTAGACATGTATCAAATTTTTTATAAAAGTTTAATAATATTAATAATTCTTGTTACTCTTATTATTATTTCATATTTGTTATTTACAAATACAATAAATCATTTTTTCGGATATATAAATAAGCTAAAAAGTTATATAACGAAATATATGTATACGATAATGTTGTATTGAACATTTGCAAACTTTCTACAAACTACTTCGATTACACCTTGTTATAGAACATTCTAGAAGCATTACAAGGAGCTGTATTTCTTTCGTTTATGGGTTAATAAAATATTATTTTGTACTGGCGGCTATATTATCTTAAATTACGTATCATTTTTACATAATTGTTTTCCATGAAAAGGGTATATAATATTTTGCTTTTCCATCATATAATAATCACTCTATGTAGTAACGTAGTTTAATTTGTACATATTTAAAAAGTTTCATTTGAATCATGTTTAATAAAGTCTTGAAAGACTTCTTTCTTTTAATTATATAACTTGTTCTCTTTTCATATAATTATAGTAAGTTCAAACACGCCTACACGATTTATATAACAATATATGGTTACATCAAGGACATTGTATACAGAATCTGTACATATTTTTCACTTGAAATTTTGTATATTTGTAGCAAAGAACCAAAGTATGAATAGTTCAATAACATATCAGATACGTATAGTCTGTATTTACATATAATATGTAGGTCAACGGTCCATCTTTGTGAGAATGACTTAAATATTGAACCATCGTGGATTTAAAGCATTCCATGTTTTAATATTGATTAATTTTGATTTTTCGTAAGTCAAGAATTTTTCCTAGAAATTCTAGGGCACACCATACATTGATATCTATTGACTTCTAATTTAGGTCGTCATTTTCGTCGCACGAAACTCTTACTTACTTCTACATATTCATGTTACACACCTGGTTGAACGTGACAACACATTTTATGCGTTCCCATTAGAATTTCTACACAGATATATAATTTACTACATAGATGTTGAAATGCTCAATTTTAAACAGTTTTGTAATACGCATCATGTGCATTTAATTCAAGTACAAATATTATTACTCCAGAGAGTGTAATGCATATCGATGAAAAATGTGTATTTATGTAATGTTAAGTTTCATGTATTATATTATTAAGATCTCATATAGAGAATAGCCATTTTGCCACATATTTTCAATTTTATACTAATAAATATGGAAAACAGAATAATAAGAGTGGCATACGTTATCATGTATTTCAAGGTTGTGTAAATTTTTTGATTCAATATTAATTACATTCTTAGTTAATTTTTCAAGACTACTAATTAAAAATTCACTGCATACTTTTTGCGCAATTTGCATAGCTGCTATGTATTCACTTTAAACTAATGGTAGTAGCTGTAGATCAATCTGAATACATCCACATCATTATGATGAGAAAAAATCACGTAACTTCCGGTATAGAGAACATGTAACAACTAAACCTTCATGATCTATCATTTATTAATGGTAAACTTTCACTCGAGTCTCACTTCAACATCATCGGAGTACTTATTCCAATTGTTTAAAAATAACCAAATGGACTACTGGCCTAGATTATCTCATAAACTACGGACGGGGCAGCGAGAATCTTTGTGATGTGGAACTTATTAAAAATAATTATTACTAACCTATCAGAATTGTAATAATTCTGTAAGTAATTTGAGTTTTTTGCATTTAGAAAATTAAAACTTGATGATTAAATACGTGTAAAAGAGAATAGATTAAAAATATTGAGTTTGATTTATTTTGCAAATAAACCAAATTTAACATTTCAAATAATATCTAAAGTTTAGTAAAAGAAACTATTAATGCAATTTGTAAAATAATCCGGTGCCTATATACGTCCACCTTACCTCAAATCATACCTTACAATAGTTTTTAAATGAGAAGCATTTAAGTGCGACCAATCGCGGATGCCAAAGATCGCTGCTTTGCAATAGCTTCCCACAAATTCCGCGCTTAGCAATTGTTTCATAGCCCGAGCGACCGTCGTAGGATTCGTTGACAAACTCCCAATATGGGCATGGGCGTGACTTAGGCTGGCGCAGCAGCTACACGTGCTACGCGCGATCGGCAATTGTTTCGGGATATGCATTCAGCCAGACGACTTAAAGCATTCCATGTTTTAATATTGATTAATTTTGATTTTTCGTAAGTCAAGAATTTTTCCTAGAAATTCTAGGGCACACCATACATTGATATCTATTGACTTCTAATTTAGGTCGTCATTTTCGTCGCACGAAACTCTTACTTACTTCTACATATTCATGTTACACACCTGGTTGAACGTGACAACACATTTTATGCGTTCCCATTAGAATTTCTACACAGATATATAATTTACTACATAGATGTTGAAATGCTCAATTTTAAACAGTTTTGTAATACGCATCATGTGCATTTAATTCAAGTACAAATATTATTACTCCAGAGAGTGTAATGCATATCGATGAAAAATGTGTATTTATGTAATGTTAAGTTTCATGTATTATATTATTAAGATCTCATATAGAGAATAGCCATTTTGCCACATATTTTCAATTTTATACTAATAAATATGGAAAACAGAATAATAAGAGTGGCATACGTTATCATGTATTTCAAGGTTGTGTAAATTTTTTGATTCAATATTAATTACATTCTTAGTTAATTTTTCAAGACTACTAATTAAAAATTCACTGCATACTTTTTGCGCAATTTGCATAGCTGCTATGTATTCACTTTAAACTAATGGTAGTAGCTGTAGATCAATCTGAATACATCCACATCATTATGATGAGAAAAAATCACGTAACTTCCGGTATAGAGAACATGTAACAACTAAACCTTCATGATCTATCATTTATTAATGGTAAACTTTCACTCGAGTCTCACTTCAACATCATCGGAGTACTTATTCCAATTGTTTAAAAATAACCAAATGGACTACTGGCCTAGATTATCTCATAAACTACGGACGGGGCAGCGAGAATCTTTGTGATGTGGAACTTATTAAAAATAATTATTACTAACCTATCAGAATTGTAATAATTCTGTAAGTAATTTGAGTTTTTTGCATTTAGAAAATTAAAACTTGATGATTAAATACGTGTAAAAGAGAATAGATTAAAAATATTGAGTTTGATTTATTTTGCAAATAAACCAAATTTAACATTTCAAATAATATCTAAAGTTTAGTAAAAGAAACTATTAATGCAATTTGTAAAATAATCCGGTGCCTATATACGTCCACCTTACCTCAAATCATACCTTACAATAGTTTTTAAATGAGAAGCATTTAAGTGCGACCAATCGCGGATGCCAAAGATCGCTGCTTTGCAATAGCTTCCCACAAATTCCGCGCTTAGCAATTGTTTCATAGCCCGAGCGACCGTCGTAGGATTCGTTGACAAACTCCCAATATGGGCATGGGCGTGACTTAGGCTGGCGCAGCAGCTACACGTGCTACGCGCGATCGGCAATTGTTTCGGGATATGCATTCAGCCAGACGACAACCGGTACACGGTATCCAAAACGTCATGCACTGAATTTTATAGCAGTCCGGAGGAAAACAGATTATTAAGGAAATTAACATCGGCAGAATTTACTATCTCATTACTACGGTTTATGTAATATGCAGTAAGAAAGGGTGGATACAAGTCACCCTATTTGAGTGTTCACCCGATTTAAAATCGTGGATCTCGAGGAACACACGAATTCATTCGACCAATCCAAAACATGGAACTAGTTCGAGAGTCTCGTTCAGGTGGCGCGTCGATACGCCAAAACACAGCTCCAGATTATCACGTGTAGTATTACTATATATACACGAGCAATCAAAAACGTGGAACTGCTTCGAGGGTCCTCCGCTAAGGTGGTGCGCCGAAACCAGAGAAAAATTGAGACCACCAAAAACAGACTCTCTATGGTTCGAGACCCCTCTATGGAGAGCACTTTCTTTTTACACAAAAACAATGTGCTTTTGCAAATGGGATTACCATATTAAAGAGTGTATCCAATTAATTTATTAATCTTATTACAATAAAGACATAAACAACGACAACCTGCGGGCTTCCACATCACCCA